GCAGTCACTGATCAGTGGGCTGGGGAAACATATTTGTAAACGCAGCCGCGTCCGCATGCATGCGTAAATTGACTATTCCCCACAACTATTTCGGAATGTGAATCCAGTTTAATCACGATTGAATGTGTGCCATAATGGTCTAGTGGTAAGGACTATAGTGGTAGGTTTATGATTGTCTTCTCAATTTTTTTAAAAAGAAAAGTGGCACAAAAATGTTTTCCAAAGGGATAACGCGTTTGCTATTTACGAATGGGCCGTAATTTTTTTACATCCAATTGCTCAATCTTTCTGCAGCAATCATTTTGTTTCGGCGACAATGTTGCACCGTCTCCCGTTGTTCTGCTGTGGGGGTTAGCACCCATATACAAGAAATTTTCAAGCTTTTCGTGATAGGTTAGAGCACTTCCTTGCAGTTTTAATGGCGAACATTTTGAACATTTATTCACATGAAAACCATATTACTACCAATATCGTTTTGTCTTCAAGATTTAATAAGAAACGTACACGTTCATTTGTTTTATTTTACGGTAGGATATCTAGATTAATGTTATTTATGTAATTACTTAATAATTTTAAATTTTTTTGAAAATTTTTCTTGCATAAGGGTACTAACATGTTACGTCATCGAAAAAAGGAAAAACATCGCTATCAAACGAGCCTAATAAAAAGATACCTTGCTATTTAAAAAAATGTAATTATTTTTCGATACTCATTGGTTTTCTGAATTAAACGCTGCCTTATTAAGGGAAATAAGTTGTCAAACAACTTTTATTTAGAAAAATATTGTATAATTTACCGAGATATACAGGGTGGAGCATAGCGCGACGCAGCATAGGGATTTCAATGGTATAATTTGTTTATAGTCAATTACTGGCTCCTTCATTATTTGCCTTGGACGTTTATTAAATTTATACTTTATTATAAATTACTTAATCATAATATGCTCTGAAGAGAAAGTGAAAATGTAAAATTGTTTCAGTGCCCGCCCAGAACATCTTTATTTAGTTTGAAATATCCCAATTAGCTGATTCCAATCAGTAGGTACCACTGTAGACAGAATTGTGTGTAAACTAAAAGAACAGGCACAGTGTGAAATAATTGCAAGTGCAATCACGTTGAAAATATCTGATGTCAAAACCACCAGGAAAACGACAATACATTTGACGTTTTTTTTCTTAGTCTGTGATTTACTCGGGACGAACATTTGAAAATATAGAAGACCTAAAAGCTTCCATTCGAGACGAATGTGACCAAATAACACATTTTCAATTAGCCACACTTTTACGATAGATTGGGTTATTATTTAGCACTAAATGGTGGTTGATTTGAACATTTGTTACTTTTTCTGAATTTATGTTACGCTTATTTCGTTATAACGTTAGTAATAACCATTCGACCTCAAATCATTTTCTTTTATAAAGGCCACCCTGTATGATAATGGAAACCCAGCGTTACAAAGTAGCGTGCGAAATCAACGAAAAAAGAAGTTAAAAAAAAATCATTTAATCAAATCGGACCCAATTGTAAGTCCGGAAACAAACTGAGACACAAACAAAAAATTTCATAAAAATCCATCAGAGGACACAAACACACGTACAGAAGAATTTTATATATAAAAATCAGTTTGGAGTAGAACAGAATATGCTCAAGATTTTTATGATAATAAAAAGAATTAACTAGTTTTTATGGTACCCGCACCAAAATAACGTACTGCAGTTCAAAATGGACTTCACGCAATGTGGCATGTTACGTAAATCACGGTGCCAAATAATTTGTTTATTGTTGTTTAATTATTATTTTACTTATTTTATTGAATGGTAACAATTGCTCATTGTTAATACAATCGAAGTGTTTTGTTATAATTTAGATATTTACAGGTGCTACCAGTATTATCTACTCTCACAGTTCCAATAAGAAATCGCGTAGACATCGCGTTGTTCTCGTTTAATCCACTAAATGGTGCCATGAAAATATTCTAATTATAAATTGCGAACGATTTTTTGTTCAATTTGGGTAATTCTAATTTAGCTAACAATGATATTCTGTACTACTTGGTGATTGATTGAGCTTGACCTGCTTTACCACTAGTTATTTTATCTTGTTCTATTGTAATTCTTCAGCAAACCTTGAATTGAAGCAAGTATTGCTAATTAGGAAAGTAAAACTTTTTAATAAATATGGAATGAGCAGCCCTCAATAATTGGGAAACTGATAGCCTAGACTATTTTTTGAAACTAGGACGCGCTGTTGAACGACTTCCTTATTATTTATCGAAAGCAACATTAGTAGTGTTATGATAGCTACAAAAAATGTATAAATTTATTCGAAATCAATTTGTACAATTTTATATCTGACCAAATTGTGGTTACGCTTAACCGCATGTTTTGGACAATTTAATTTTTACAATTTCTGAATATCGAGCAGCTGCAGATTCTATAAAAGCGAAGCATTCAAATGTGTAATGTACAAAAATGTAGAACACAGTTTATTATCACGACTAAGTGTATAGTCTAAAAATGACATCATTAAGAGTACGAAGAGGTCGTGTTCAGGTTAGAGGTGGAGGACTACGACACACTTGGTAGCGCACGTTCTCTGCTGGATATTTCAACGTTAAGAAAGTAAACACAAGCGACCGACGATTTGTACTGAATATTCAAACTGCTATTTACAATCAACTTCGGAGAGATCATAGTATTAAATGGGGGTGTGGAATGGAATGCACGCACCATCGATCAAATTGGAAAAAGAATACCTAGAAGCGATCATGTAATCATCTTAACATCAGACTGCATTAAACTGCATCATTAGATCATTACTGATTTATATTTTCTTAATATATTTAAACTGACCTAACTCACGATATTCTGTAATAAACGGTAACTTCGGTTCGGAAAATTCCCTTCTACTCCTTCATCTAACTTCCAGGTTTCTTTGTAATTATAGACTTCCAGACTAATTTGCGGTGGGGTACATCAACCCAATCGTTTACCCAACGGTATTGATAAAAATGTTAAGCTTCCGTTGGTATGTCTATGTGACGTGTCGGATTAATTATTCATTTTCGTGTCGTTTATTTGGAATATGTTAGGAATAGGTACATAAATTTACGATCTTGCTTTACGTACCGTAAACTGATTAATCTTTCTCTACCTGGTTTAATCGCTTTAAAACAATTTTTAATTTTAATGTCATTTCCTTATGGCATTATGCAATTTCATATGTTATAAATTGTGCAATTTTAATCTGTGGGTAGCCATCAATTATATATTGTGGAAGATAGTAAAACCATCCGCCTTTTACAAAAATTTTCAAATTGCAATTCGCTCACTTACGGCGTGTGTGTGTGGAAATTATATGATAGAATTTACATTAGTATGATTCGTGCTCGCTCAGAAATCGAATAAATTCTTGTGCGGTTTTTATGATGGCTAATGCGAAAAATTGAAATTCTTTGGTTATACCTACAGTAACGTGCAGTCACGGTTAACTAGTGATGGTTTTATTTTTATGAGTCAAAACAAAAAGTTTAATATCTATAATAGTTACCAATGTACGTGGTGCTACGAAGTTCTCAATCTATATTTTCCATTTGCGATTCAGTATTTCTAATGTGGTTGCAGGTTTCGGACATATTTTTGGATGACTGCACATACCACGTTACGACTCATTTAGAACGAAAAGTGTCACATTAGATATTTGCCGATCAGTGGGTTTATTTACACCTGTGGGCGTAATTATTCGCTGTATACGCGAGAGATACCCTTGATCTTGCTACATCGTTGACAAGGACTACTTTAAGGTCGTGCAAACAGGTGTACTCCCACACGTAATGAATAAAATAACGGGTTCTCATTAAAACCATGTCTACTTCACAGGGGACGGCGACAAATAGATTCATATCGTTGTTTGTTATTTGAATTCTATCTATATCGATATATGCAACAAGTTTTTCAGAAATTGCGCAAGCCCTCAGTCCCATTAGTGCCAGAATTTAATAAAAATAAATTGTTTTTTGTGATAAATATAAGTTGGACATCCTTTATTTGTAAATTGTAATTACAGTACGTGCAGGACGAATTTTCACGCTTCCTTCAAATAACCTTGCACGCTTCATCAACTCACTATTTTTATATTTTTCGTAACCTTTTACGAGATAAATTAAAAAATTTCTAAACGCTATGTGCAACGTAATTTCGAAAATAGGAAATGCTTTAATTTACAATAAAACTCAAATAGGTAATAGGTACACGTTTTACGTATAGGTAGTTCGCAATGAAATCTACTGGATATTTCAATTTAAAACAGCAGTTTTAATATTTTTCCAATTTAAGCCCAAATTTCCTTTTTGGTAATTTAAATACGAACTTGTTGATATATACGAGCTCCTTTATTAATTTTGAATAACCGCTTCCTTTTATATTAAAAGCGAAAGTGAGTGTAATCCCATTTTACTACTGAATGAGTTGAAGGATGGCTCGTAGCCAACAGGCGGTACAAGTGGGTAAAGTTTAACTGGATTCCCTACACACGTAAATTAGATATGGAAATATGATAATGATATTTTATACTAGCTTAGGGGTAAGTTCCAGGCAATAACCTTCTACTTTATCTCATGTGCGGTATGGTTTTATCACTCCCCAAATTTATCACTGTAACTTTTCAAAATCGTAGTAATAGCGTACTGAAACGTAGTCCCAAAATTTTACCGTTGATAAATTATACGTTGGTTAGTGTTTTTATTCTTTCGTTAATTGGGTGTGAAACCGTAGTAGTGAGACGCCCAAAGTCATTGCCCCATCGCTTTAATAATAGTTTACAAATCGACTAATTGACTTGAATTTCGAGGACAGAATTTATATATCGCCAAAGGTTCGTCCTTGCGGGGTCCTGCGAGTATTTTATAGAGTTAGGTCAGTTACGAAGACCTCGAGTTGTGCAATTCAAAACGGTTAGAACGAGCGGTAAACACGCCGAAGAATTACGAAATTTTATCCTACCTGATATTTTATTGATGTATTGGCTACTGTTGGCTGTTGACACTGACACTGACGATGGATGTCCTTGGCCTTCTGATGCGTTCACGGTCACAACCACAACAGAAATGCTTTGGCGAACGACGAACTGCTACTTTTCCTGCTTTAACTTTGCAGAAGATTACCTACTGTAACTGGTGGTGGGGTCTTACCACTACTCGTTGATGGCAGGTGGAAAATTAACTTCTTGTACTTGCAAAGGCCAGCATTGGTCGATGGTCTAATATTCTTAGAGAAGTGCTGCTCTTGACTCAATTTTTTCATACCTCGTGTGAATAGATACCTAGCTCTTACCTTCACACTCATCATGACCATGATACTTTTCCATTACTTCTGAAATTTTGCAAATCTTCAATGAAGCGATCTCCGATGTTACAAACCCGGAAGGTCGAACTCATTGAGATTTAATTACAGTGCGCTTCAGAACAATATCTTTAATTACGCGAACGTCTACATATATTATTTAATCCGCATACCGGAAGAATATTTATGAAGTATGTGCATGTGTATCATAACTATCATTGGAGAAAGTGATTTATATGTGGCGCTTCCTTTATATTAGCAATTGTAGTGCGTTTCAAGTTCAACATTTTGCATTCATTGAAGAGATTTCATTTTAATCTTTTCATCATAGGTAGGTTGGATATTTTTAAGTTCGCAAGGCTGTTTGGCGTTCTCGAGGTCAGGTAGACCGGAAAAGTTCACTGACATTAATATATGAAGGAGACCGCGAAGCGCCCTTATCGTTTATCATCTATTCACCATGCGTTGGTGTACATTTTACCGTACGGTTACAAAACGATTAATATATGAACAAGACAAACGTCCGTCAGTTATTTATTGGCACTCGAAGCTCAATCAATTTTATTTTTTCGGCGCTTCGAAAAAGGCTAAAAAGTAAAAGTGGATTCGTTCACTGTGATTTGATCACAATTTGTAATTGATCATTCGAGTTGACGCTTTAACATAAAATTAGACGTTTATTGACACATAAAGAACGGTCGAAATGAATAGCAATAATATTTGCAAATGATTTAGTAATAATCGGGCGTCGTCATTTACGAGTCTACCTCGTAACAACGTGTGAACGTTTAATAATGTTGAACCGGTACTTCATTCCATCAATGAAGTCAATATTTATTTCATTTTGCGGTCATATGGGATAAAGTACCTTCAGTACCTATGAACCGCGTGATTAGATTCTAATAACTTTTTTCGCAAGTTTTTCATGTGAATTAAAATTAGATTGTTATTGATCTCGTAAGTTTAATATCCTGGTTTGTAAAAGTAAAATTGTATCTACTTGTTATACTCGTATTGCATCTGCTCATTCGATAAGTTATGCAATTTCTAGAGAATCTACGTGGAAGGTCCAGAAAGGTTACGTTACTTGCAAAAATGCACGCAACGAATTTGTAGTGTATGATGTAGGAATTTAAAAAGGTTGCAATTTTCGGGGGGAAATTATTTTTTTTCATAATTCTCAATCAAACTCTTTTTAGCAATCAACTCTGACTTATTTCATATTGATCAGTCGGATACACAGCGGCATACAGTGACATTATGGTTTTCTTTCACTCCATTTCAGAATGCTGCTGAAGAATCCCGCAGAAATTATGCCCTTCCATGAAAACATAACTAAAAATAATAATGAGTTTTTTCTTGCAAAAGAGGATAACTGGAAGCCTGCGTGTTTTCCTATCAGTGCTTTTAAGGTCCACGCGAATTTGTATATTTGAAAAATTGCTTTCTGCAACTTAAATGTCCCGCCGCAAAAATACGAGTAGTATGTTATATTATAAGGAGTTAAAGTGACACTTTTTATGGCGAGTCGGCAAAATACTGACGCATAATATATTTTTTCTTCAAACGTGAAAATAAATAGTTCAACCCGGAAGCAAAATTAACCCAGTGGTTATAGGTAGCCATGAGCGGTGTGTAATGGTCAGGCCAAAATTAACCATACACAGGACACATCAAACTTAGCTAGCGGTCTAATTAAATCTCTGCGAGTACACATCGGAATCCCCGCACAATAAAAAAATTCAAATTTGATTTAAATTCCAAATCCTAAGGCAAACAATGGCCACGATCAAAACCCTTAAACTCCAAAGGAATCATTTATCAAATTTTGAAATGAACTTTGGGCTCAGATCAACAAAATTAATCATAATTAAACATGAGACCTCTATCTGAATCGTTAAATGGATCGAATAAACATTCCTACTTAAAACAAAATCTCAGATTACTTAAGTTTTCGGTTACAAATCCCAATAAAAATCCGGGTGAACAAAAGACTAATTGCGAAAAGAAACGCACAAATCTTGCTCTTCTTAAATTTCTTCTTTGGACAAGTTGCAGAAACGCTGATTGAAGTCAAATCTGAATTAACTGCCAGAACGCAAATACACGGCCAAAGATTCGAATGGCGTTCTCTTATGGCTTGACAGTATTTTGCGGACTCGCCATAAAAAGTGTTACTTTAACTCCTTATAATTACTGTGTAAACAATGTCGGGTTTGACGTTGAGGTCCAGGTACCAGAAGTGAATACGGGTAGTTTAATTACTAACGAAATGCTCATTACAATTCATTTAATTAATCTGGTGGGATTCCTTAAACTCGTTTTACACTAAGGCGACACTCACGCTCCACTGAAGGTACGCTCAAAATTGATACAATAAAATCTAATACGAATGTTCACACTATAGCTAGCACCAAGCTCGCGCGCATTCCTGTTTGATTTCATTGTATCAATTTTGAGCGTACATTAAGTGTGAGCGTGAGCGTCGCCTTAGTGTGAATCAAGCTTTATGGTTAAACAAAACGATTTTGCGTACCTAACCTGTATCCAAGCTATTTATTTATTTGTTTTTTCTGTAAAAATATTACTTCCTAGAATTATTGAGGATGGGTAAATTTGTATCTCAATTCTCGTTATCAATTTCTTTTGTTAATTCATCTGTGACAGTTCAGATGTGATTTATTGGGTATTTCGTTTATTTTTATAGAAGATTAATGTAATTATCTACAGATAAGGTGACCTTTTAAAACTGTTTGTTTTCGTAGAAAATATACTATTTCAAATAAGATAATTCTGTGTAAAGTTTGCGTACGTGACTGGAGAAAGCATCCTGCAGTGCAGCTTTCATTGGTGTATCGAGTTGTCAGGCGTCATTAATTGAAGGAGACTTTTCTCAATTGTGAGGCGGGGGTGCTGTTCGTCTACAGGATTTTTTTCGTCAAGTTCGAAATCGGAGTGCTGTCACTATTTTTTAATAAGAAATGGCAATATTAATTCGTAAAAACACAATAAACTACGAACGTACACTACCCGAAACAAAGTTTGCCAGGCAAAAAAGAAGATATTTTAACAATATTCAAAAAAATAGTGACGTTTACATTTTTGAAATCAGAAAAAATGCTCTATCAAATGACACAAAAAATAAAAATGATTTCCATAAGAAAAAACAAAGTTGATGACGGTTAACCGAAGACGAAACGTCAGACTTAACAAAACTAGCATCTTGTAGAGGGAAAAAGGTGTCCATAATAATGTGTCATTTATTTTGTTTTTTTCCGGATATCTCCGGAAGTACTCGGAATTTTTTCAGTTTCAAAACGGTATTTTGTTAAGCAACTTTTACAAATTTAAACTACCTACCTATCTCTTACAGTTTCCGAAATCCCCATGGTGGCCCCCGAATTTTGAAACAGCCTGTATATTTTATCAATCCTCCAGATCCGATTCATTTACTTTTTTTGCGACTTGAATCTTTTTGAATTTGATTTCCAATTCTGCCAACTAAAAAACATAGTCATCTATCTATCTGCACCTGGACAATGGACATCCACACCCATATTTTAATCAATTTCTGTATCTCTCTTAAATCGTGATTTATTTATTTATTTATTGTTCCTCTCTTGTTCTGGGTTCTCAACAAGCTTGTGCCCAATTACAGAGTGACCCGCATAATGCTTTTTAGAGGGAACCCTGCAGAAGGTCTTTGTTTTATACTACTCCGGTATGTACCCTACGAATTCGGATGAAATCAATCTGTTTTCTATATCTGTAAAGTTTCCTTTTAAGATGTTCGACGAGTTGTTGGATATGACCGCCTACTAGACGTACACCCCAATTATTCCTTGCTCCCAATCCATAGTCATCAACGTCACTATTTTGCCTCTCCTGTCTTTCTCCATTAGACATTTTATTTACTCGTACATTTCCTCTATTTCTCTTATGGCCGTTTGCACCGACAAAGTTAAGTGGAGCTTAAAATCCATGGCAACGATCATTAATACAATGGTTGCCATGGATTTTAAGCTAAGCTCCACTTCAATTTGTCGGTGCAAACGGCCACTAGTCCCTTCTTTAATATCTGCACTGTAGTAAAACATCATTCCGTCTTCTTCCCTCCCACCTTACTTCGCTTACTAAGTAGGTCGGTCGACTTGTAAGATTTGAAAATGAGATTAAATTTAGTTTTCCTTCGATACTTGGAGGACCCAGGTTCTAGTCCTGATCACATAGCCTTTAAAATTGTCTATCTGGAATATATTCCCGGGGTAATAATGCGCGACTAAGGGGTATGGGGCTAGACGCACTGCTTATAATAGCGGTACTATTATCGATATTTATTTTTCAGGGGAAAGATAACATTCGTAGACCAATAATGCAAAAATTTAATTTATTTTTCATTTGGAGCACTTTAATGTTGGGCAAACAATAATCATGACATTTGTATATTGGAAATGCATTCTTTGGAATGATGAAAAATAAAATGTTGTATGCACCTCAGGCATTACTCAATATTTAACCCTCGGGTGACTGACAATCCCTCGGGCCGGAGGCCCTTGGGCTCTGTCGCCCTCGGCATAAATATGGCCTTAACGCCCTTGATGCATAAATAACTATTGATCATTACTTTCCTCTAAAGATCAATGTAGTTGTTTTTGAAAGCAAGGTCACATATTCCACGAATCCAATAATAATAATTTCACGTGGTGTTTTGTAGGGACTAGTTTAAAAATAAATGTTAAAATATAACAGAACGTTATAAACTTTGCAAATGTGGAGGCTTGCCAATCTGGTGCTCTACCAAACAAATATTTATACAAAAAAAACTTTACAACATCTTAGGTATACTTGGGGCTACATTTGAAATAACGAGATACGACATGAAAACTTACCTGAATTTCTAATTCACAACCCTGGGTTGCATGCTAAATAAACAATGGAAATAACGAAAATGCAAATTAACATCTTGTTTTTGTT